CAGCTGTTCTTCCTCTTTTAAATCTCTCTGCAAAAACAAGCATTTTAAAGCAAACAGTTGAAAATGCCACTAATCAGCTCCTGCTGGTTCACTGACAAGCTCAATGTTATTCAGGATCCTCTGTAAGCGAAATAAATTACTAAATTCAGCAGAAGCGTTACTAAATGCATCAAAGGGACCCCATGGTGCTACAGCGACGGCTGATCAAAAAAAATGGTCGTAGTAAAATCTGTTCAAATTGTTAAAAACACTGACACACATCTACGGTAGGCAAAAGAAACAAGAATCGATGCTGTTACTGCTTCGTTGCTCTTCTCACTTTGCAGCTCAACGAAAAAATAATTAATGTCAATCTAAGCGAATGAAAAAAGAAAAATAAAAAACATCACAGAGCTCACCTTTCGTTTTTTGTCTTTCTTCTTCTTTTTCTCTTTTTTCCTGTCTTTGTCGTCGCCGCGATGTTTCCTGTACTTGCGATCCGAATCGGCATCTTCATGAAAATAATGCGCACAGGAAATTATTCAACAGTTGTTTTTTCTTTTTCTTTAACCCGAATCATGAAAAGAAAAAAAAAAACGGAAAGAAAAGGTCAACTAATAAAACTTGGAAATATTTTAAAAAAATAATTTGCATACCATCAAAATCATCCAGACTCCACTTGTACTTCCTTTTGTGCTTTGTCTCATCACCGTTTTCATCATAATTCATCGGATCATTCATCGCTTTATCGAAATACCTAGGCAAATGCACACTAAAGATAAGCACTTTGTCGGAGCAGTGACGAGTACAAACTGCACAAACGAGGAAAGGGCTGGAGGGGAAACCATTGCACCGGACGTGTGGGGTCATAGCATTAAAGTTACTAATATCGGTTCCTCACACCGATTTTTTGAGTGGCCCTCTAAATATGGCAGTGAACCAGGAACGGTCGCATCGCATTTGTTCACAAAACAACAACAGCCGCAAAGAAGTTTACTTTACCACCACGTATTACTGAGGCTTCCGTACTGTCAACGTCACACTTGACAAAGAAGAAGTTGATTACGAGAGAAAAAAAAAAGATTACCTATATGGTTCCGGTACAGCACCAGGTGTAAGTCTAAAGCCGGCCATTGCACTGGCAGAGAGGCCGGTGATTTCTTTGCCGGTGATTGGCGGCTTCTCCACCAGCATCCTCAGCGAACTGAAAATGCCAAAAACTACTCAGATGGTGGGAACGGGACTGGAAGTATCACGAAATTGATAACTGAGAACCTGAATTCCAAAGCGTTATCGAAATTGAAATTCCCAACGAGATGTGGCAGGAACGAGCCAAGATCTTCGCGTAGCCGTTTCGAACCGCAAAATCGCTGATATGCCGAGCTCATGTCATACTCTGCCAGCAAATCGTTACTTCCCAACAAAACACTTTGGTCTGAAAGCAAAAAAAATAATAAAAAGCGAAAAGTGCACTATTAAATCCTACCAATCCTATTCAATACAGTGCACTTAGCACTAGAAATGACAAAGCAAATCCCTCGTATGAGTAATGAAAGTGGGCAGCCTGAATCTTAACATTTTTTTTTCTG